AGACGTGGCCAGCGCAGTGCCAGTGGTCACCGTGGGCCTCGCAGCCGTAAGACTCCGTCGGGCTAGGCTTCAAAGAGACCGATGAGCCGGACTCGTCATCATGGTCATGATCCTCCTCGTCGTGGTCATGGTCATCATGGTCGTGAACCGCGGAGGTAGTCGCAGTCACGGATGAGACGCTGGCAGCGGTCGCGACTGTGGCGAGAGAGGTGACCTTGGGACCAGAGCAGTGCCTGAAATTGTCAGTTGCTGTATGAATCAGCGTGAGTACATCAACATACCAGTGGTCGCCGTGAGGTTCGCAGCCAATCGAAGCAGTGGGCGAGGGAGCAAGGGACTGGGCCAGTGCAGTATGCACAAAACCCAAGAGGAACGGCGCAACAGTGGACAGCTTCATGTTGTTGACTTGGCAAGTGGCTGACTGCAAAGACTGAGGCGAGTGGCTATCGGGTCTGTCTGCTGATGCTTCCTTCTCATCTTGCCGTATTTATCCTCATTCTGAGTTCTATTGCCCAGCCTTGGCTGTCAAGCAATATCTGAGAACAAGCTGAACATGCTCATGCAGAGATGGCTCATGGTGAGCGGTTGCGGTCGAGTGAGCAGATCCCAACCATCGTGAGGAGTCCATCAAGGTGCCCGAAGGACGAGGGACTCGGTTCAACTCTCGTGATGCCTCATCTTGGCGGCATGGTGGTGTTGGTGCCAAGAAAGCGTCTCCTGGACCTGACTCGGAAATCTAAGGCTTGGCTTTGGTGGTCGTCGTGGGGGCGTGAGTCCACCCTCATCCTCCTGGGCAGGTGGGCAGCAAGGAAAAGAAAATGAGTTGAGACGACGGATAGACTTGGCGCAAATCCCTACAGGGCTCCCGTGTCGACTTTGGAAAGCTTACCGCGGTAGGCTGGAGCTGAGAGATGGAGAAATATCCGTGTGTGAAAGCGCGAGTGTCAGTGGCAGTGATGTCGGGAATCAAGCATCCCGAACGCTCTTATGGATCGGTATCCTTGTTTCCGATAAGCGCGTGGCATCCCCACGGACCATGTGTCTCCAGGAGCACATGTCTCCCGACCACAGACGGATATTCGAGAAGAATTCTCCACGCTGATGAGGTGTGCTTCTGAGCAGTTTGGGGATGAGGCATCGCACATCAAGAACAATGATCGATGCACCGACAGAGCGATGCGCCTTCCACTTGGAGACAATGGAAGAATGCAGCTGCAGAAGCTCGATTGACAAGGACAATGGCAACTGCCAGTTTCGGATGAAAGAGAAGTCTGGTTGGCGCCTTCCAATCAACAAAAGAGAATCAATGACAATTACGCAAAGCTGAGCCCCACCACAGCAGGGGGTATACCGGGAAGGTACGTACCGTTCGGAGCGCGCAGGGAACTATCTGGCCATCAAGGTTCTCAACCATCAAGGTGCCCTCAGTGCTGAGACAAGATTAGGACCCGTACTACGCCCCGTTGCGCCAGCAAAAGCAGCCCACCCATTGGCTGGGAGCTGTCTTTACCAAGGAAACGACTCCACTGCCTGCAAAAACTACCGTACTTGTCCTGCTGCTTTTCCTCTTTCGTGGCCAGCCGCAGCCTCTCTGCTCGGTGTCTCCCCGACGTGGGCCGTTTGGAAACCTGGACAATTTGAATCTGTCAATTCCTCCCAATCTTCCTTCTCCCTCGTCTTCCCATTGTTGTGTTCGCGAACCTCTTTTCACCAATTCCCAATTCCATTTCGTCTCTGCAGGGCTCGCTCGGCACATCCCGCGCCCCTCGCCTCCAAGTCCCCAATTCGACCTCCCCAAAAGTGGAATTACGCGCGTCACTCACCACCCCGTCTCGTCTGAAGCTTCCGAGACACTCAACCCGGATCCACCACCAGCTTGGCCTACCTTTACGACATCCACGTCCCTCGATCATATACCAGTTAGGCAATTCGACCGAAGCAGTAGACGTCTCAAACCACACGGCGATCTTCATTGCGACATCTCTCACCGGCCAATCTCACCCTTCACTTCACTCCCGCGAGTCAACACACCTCACTTGAGCCTCCAACCTCACTACTTAAGAGCTGTCAACGCCTTCAGCCTATACTTCCCTCATCCCTCACCGAGCGAAGGACATCCTGGTCTGCTCACGCAACCCATCAGCTACTCTCACGATATCCGGCAGCTACCAACCGAGAATAGCCTCTCTTCACGTCACACTATTTCATCTCAACCTCTAGGCTTCGCGCAGCCTATACTTCTCTCGGTGGCCCTTGACCTCCGGGGCTAGCGGCATCCCTAATCTCATCATGGCTGGCCTACTCCCCTCAGACAGGAAATCCGTCCTTCAGTATGCCTTGACGGCACTGCTCCTTCAGTTTGCCTCCGCCTCTCAGATACAACACAGCGCGCCACAGGTCACAGCTGCTCCCACCGCGACCACTGCTCTAGCGGTCGTTCCCACCGCTATTTCAGGCTGTCACTTGCATGATAATGAAGTGTGGGTGCTCTGATATCATTTCTTATGTGTGTCACTGGATTACTGACCTGACCGCCACAGATTCTGCCTCGCTGGTGAAACCGAGTACTCTGTTCACACTACGGCCACTGCTACCTCTGAGCTTCCTGCTCAGTTCACGGGATGCCACTCTCACGACGATGCGCTGTACGTTTTGTTGCCACCACCTTTCTTGTCTCATGGCCCATATTGACTGGAAGCAGATTCTGTGAGACGCCAAGTGGAGATGTGGAGATCTCACTAGTAGCCGAGGAATCCGAAGAAGATGATCACCACCACGATGAAGATGAAGCGACGTCCTCTACTAGCGAAAAGAAGTGTCACTTCCACGCTGGTGTCGAACACTGCACTGGTGGCGATGAGCATGAGGGAGAGAGTGCAACATGCGAGAGGACCGACCGAGACTACAACATCCGTCTCAGAGTCGGTCTCTTGTTCGCCATGTTGGGAACCAGCTCCTTTGGTGTCTTCAGTCCCATTCTGCTCTCCAACTTTGTCTCGCCAAACAATGTCTTCATCACCATCTTGAGGCAATTCGGGACTGGCGTCGTCATCTCTACTGCGTTCATCCACCTGTTTACTCACGCTCAGCTCATGTTTGCTAGCGAATGTCTGGGAGAGCTTAGTTTCGAAGGCACAGCAGGTGCCATCTCTATGGCCGGCATCTTCATTTCGTTCCTTGCAGAGTATTTCGGCGTTCGTGTCTTGCAGTGGCACGCCGCCAAGACGGAAGCACGCAACATCGAGAACGGTGGAGAGAAGGAAGACTCGGCCCACAGGACTGAGATGGTCAACATCATGGTCTTGGAGTGCGGTGTCATCTTCCATTCTATTCGTAAGTCACGCCCTTCCTACAACCCTTCCTGTGGACAGCCGCTAATCAGGTATCACAGTAATCGGCATTACCCTGGTTGTCGCTGGCGACACCTTCTTTCTCACTCTTTTCGCAGTAATCGTATTCCATCAAATGTTTGAGGGCATTGCCCTTGGATCCCGCATCGCGGCCCTCGGAACTCTCCCCCCGATCAACGCGGCCTCCTCGGTCCACAGCCATTCGCACCACGGTCACAGCCACCACGGCCACAGTCACGCCCATGAGGTTAAGCGCCCAAGCCCGCCTGCTGAGCCCCACTCACCAACCTGCACCGATAATGGAGTGGTCTCGGAAGACGAGTCAGTGGAAGTCACCGTCATCAAGCCCGTCTCGCTCAGGAAGAAGCTCCTTCTTGCTTCCGGTTTCGCTTTGGTCACCCCTATCGGCATGGCCATCGGCATTGGTGTGCTGAACCAGTTCAACGGCAACAACCCTTCGACTATCATTGCTATCGGCACCCTCGACGCCGTTTCTGCTGGCATCCTTATGTGGGTTGGCATCGTTGAAATGTGGGCTCATGACTGGATGTTGGGCGGCGAGATGACCACTTCCGGTCCTCTTCGGACACTTGCTGGTCTTACTTCTCTTATCGCGGGTCTGGCCGTGATGAGTTTGCTTGGAAAGTGGGCTTAATGAGACTCAGAGGCCGCATACTCTTCTTTCTAGGATACCTATTTGCTTCTTTGGATTCGCGGGCGTTTTCCGAAAAAAAAAAATCTTGGGTTACGGTTATTGGGCATAGCGATTGGGAAAATTTTGCTTGGATGGCGTTGATCACACGAAAAGCCGCTGGGATTTGCATTTGGCGCAAACATATCTAATGAAGCATATCTTGACATGACAGCATGACATAGAAATCATTTCGATTTTTCGAGAGTAAGCAAGTTGGAGAACGCATATTCGGCAGAAGAGAGGCAAAGTTTAGATGACCAAACCAACAATTCATGAACTTGGTACACTCATTTTCTTGTTCAAACGTAACAAGGTGACACAGCATCAAATAGCATATCCTGAATTTGGCAGTAAGTAGGGGCCCGGGTCTTGTGTAACTTGGAGGTCGCATTTGTTGTTGATCACCATGTAGTGTTATGCTGGGACGACATAGAATCTCGCACGTAGGATTTCGTATAATTGCTTGCTCAGCACCAAACACCTAAACAAATGTCTATTGTAGACTCTGAACGGTGCTAAGTGTACAACGACGAATGTATGCTTCAAGGGATGATCTGCTTCCAGATACAATATCCATTGTAAGAAGATGAGATCGCAACCTCGATCGTTGAAACGCCACCGGTATAGCTAGCTGCCTCAATTAGCATTGTCTACTTCACTTTATTGTGCTCATGGCAAGGGCGCATAGCATGATAATTTTGGTGAAGGTGTTCGTTCACGCTTTGTTCCCAGTGCCCAAAAAAAAAAAACTGGCATGGCACATCGCTAGTCAGGAACAATGCATGCATTGCATACGAAACCGAGGTCTTGGACATGGCACGTTGCGCATCGTAACCTGCATTCATAAACCAAGAAAATCAGAACCACTTACGCTAACAAAAGAAAGATCGCAAACTTTCAGGATAGAAAAGGAAGAGAAAGCGTGAAACGGAGATGGAAAAGAGTGGAAAAAGAAATGCCCAATAACAGGATTGAACTGTTGACCTTCGCATGGACTTGATATCAGAAGAAACCGATATTAGTACGACGCTCTAACCAGCTGAGCTAATCGGGCTAGTGTTGATTGTTGAAAGTAGACGCCCCAATTAGCACTTATCAGGAACGCTTTGCACAGACACGACCCCGAGCCCGTGCTGCCTCGGCCGTGGCGATCTCCGAATGCCTGGGGGACACTCGCGGGTATCTCTGGTTTACTGCGCAAATATTTCAAGAACGGTGGCTCAACAAGATGATTCTCAATGGATATGAACGATGCTTTGGATTTGGTAGCTTCGAGTGTAGTGAAAATTGACAGATGCTCGCCCGGTAGAGTGTCCGTTACGGCCTGCTTCGCTCTCCGGAAGCACGCCGGCTCATCACGATACACAAGCCAAGGATTTGCCTCACAGCATCACAGCATCATAGCATCACATGTTAGTAGTCTGCCCGCCGCCCATGTTTGCTTTTCAATTTTTTCTTTGATTTTTATTGTCGGTCAATCGATGACTGATCAGCCTCCGCTACCTAACAGTTTTGCCTAGAGGAAGCCCTGCGGCACCTGCCCTTGAGGCGTCTTTCTAGAACCAAGCCAACTACCCTGTAGCTAAGGCGATGGATGAACTCCAGAAAAGCCACAAACACGCTGATGACCTGGAAATGTCCTCCTCATGGATTGATACATCCTGGATTTGCAAGCCAATAGTCGCGCTGATAAAACCTTGCCTGAGCGGTAATCCTAATCATCCCCTTTCCTCCACCTCACTCATCCGTCTCCAAGTAGGTAGTCGTCTCTTTTGTTGCATTCGTCGTCGGCAACAACCAGGAAAGTCATCCTCTGTCCCTGATTACCTGTACCCAGTACATTAGGGACCCATAGCCCAATTGCCGGCATTTCCCGATGTGCTCCAATTGTCTTCGTCTGGTAGATGAGAAGTTGTGTCTAATAGACCTCCTAGAATCCGGTGGTCAGCGGGTTATTCTTCCCCCCCCCACACCTCTTACTCATCGAGCTCCTCCATCTTTAGGGAAAAAAGAACTAGTTTAGAACATACCATACAGAGGAGACGGGGTGTACTCGGACGTAGTAGAGCCGTTAACCGCCATAACAGTACCCGAGCCGTTTCCACTCTGGTGGAGCGCCGGGAAGGGGTATGGTTGAGGGACCATCATCTCAGCCAGTGACTCTGTGGTTAGCAAGTTCGGGATATGACCGCCATCATGGGGCATGCTTTGAACCCCAAAATTATACTCATGAAGAGACTGATGAGGACCAGGGGCGGGCCGCCGGCTAACTACTTCCAAGGTGTTGTCATCGACACAAGCAAGTGGCGATATGCCCTTGGGGACCATGGCCACGCGCGGCTCTGGTCTCTCGGGGTACCAATATAGCTCGTCGCGCATGGGATTGAGGTTGGCTGTGATTCCGATGGTGCGGAGGTTTCTAAAGGCGATCTTGGCTTTGTCTCGGGTAATGGGATGACGGAAGAGGCAGAGGAAGCTGTGGAGGCACTGGATGGTGTCGAGGTGGTAATAGTTGTAAGACTGAACGGCTTCGGTAACGGACACGATGTGTTTTCCGTGAATTACCGTTTTTCCATCACTTTGCGGGATCTCGGCCAGTTGAGGGCGGCGGAAGACGAAGGTGAGGTGGCGGAGGTTGGGGAACTGGAAGAGGAAGGTCAAAGGGTTTTTCGCACCAGGGCTGGTCCAGTCGTGGCCATGAGGACGCATGTCCTCGACGCGATCGAGCTGAAGCTCGATTCGGTAAATTCGGCTTAGCAGATTGGTAGGCGCCGGGACAATGAAATCGCGGTATCCATCAGACATCGGCTCCCAGAGTGAAGTCTCGTACATGGCATTGGAGCTGTCAGTTTCCTGGCGAGGGCGGGGCGACTTGCCCAGGCGGACACCCAGGGTGTCCTTATGTGGATTGAAAAGATAGGGGGAAAGATCCTCACGGGTCGAAGGCCGCGGGCTTCCCCAATGGATGAAAGCCAGGTCGCGGCTCTCCCTGTTGATCTCGAAGAGTCGGATTCGCTTATAGTGATCTCGACTCCCCAGCCATAAGCTGCGGTGTCCCGTCACGATCGGCCCGCTATATCTGCATAGAGTCACTGCATTGCTGACAGTACCTTGATAAGCTGAAAGCTCGCTGGTGGCCGTCGTAGGATCAACCGACATCATCCAGATCTTTTGTCGAAGCTCGGACGGTAGCTCTGGGAAGCGGGGAAACAGCTCGCAGAGCTTTTCCTTCCCCTTATCAATCAGGCGAATGAGAATCATCAGGTCTTCCTGACCCAAGGTCGAACGAGTTCTAGTTCAACGGGTGTTAGCTATGAATACAATAGCCAAAGAGACGCTCCTGAGATTCTGACTTACACTTGATCCTCTTCCGGACAACATCGTATAGTATCGATGCAACCGTTGATGATGCTGTCGTAGTCAGGCTCGCCCGTACGGATACGGTGTTCTCGTGATGTTGGTAGCATGGTAAATTGTGATACTGATAGAGATCTCGATCGATGAAGTTGGGTGTTGTTGACTGTTTGTGATGGCGATGGCAAAAAGTCGACGATTACCAGATGGGGAAAATGGCCATGTGGGATGCAAATCAGTAGGTCTAGGGTTTAATATTATGTGAGGACCGTCAATCTACCGGTAGAGGTTTTGTCAAGGAAAAGAGACTGTAGCCAGTAGAAATTGGAATTGATTGGATTGGAAGAAGATGAAGATGAGGAGGAAAACTGGAACCTCCAAAGGCCTGGGGAGGCCGGTCTTAAATACAGGTAAACCGCCCTGATTCATCCTTCCTGTCAGGCCTGTTCAGGTTACTGACTTCCTCATCTGGATCTACAGCTTTGACAGGCACGGACCTAGACGAGGGTCGGTCCTGACAGGTTTTCTACGCAGTATCTGCACGCCCCGCAGGTTTCGGTGCGAGTGAATGGCCTGCATGAACAACCCGCAGAACCGTGAATAGGTACCTCAGAAGCACTGAACGTTTGCCACGGCATGTGACTGAGATAGATCAAGGTCCTGCGTAGTTGGATAGGTAGTTGTCAGCACGAGATGGAGCACTAGCTCAGGCAAGCTGATGCCGTGATGGGGACAAGACTTTACTCAAAACAATGGACGGAACCCGGAGTTCTCTGAAGAGTCATAACTTCCTGTTGCCTTGACACGCCGTCCATGCGTTCTGGTAAATTACCTACTGGATGCGCCGGTAACAAAAGGCCTGACACGGCCCATTCGCATGGGCACTGAGAGATAATTTGCAGTTATGAAGTCCAGAACTGCTTGTTGAATAGCAACAATCGTTTCAAAGAATAGCCCTGAAGCAGGTGTTGGCGGGTCTACCTGTAGTCGTGGGCAAGTTTGTTCAGGCCCCAGGCAACCAGCTCCGTTGATCACGCGTGGCTGTTTTCCTGATACCAGACGTAGAAGCGCCGTCACTTGACACAATAGTTGCCGCAGGTCGATAGCCGTTGAGGATACACCAAGAACTGGTTTGGCATTGATGATCAATAAGCCAGATTGAAGAACAACAAGTATCTCAAGGGAGTCTTGGTGCATCAGATGTCACATCCGAGTTGAAATAGCCGTTAGCGGGAGCACAGTTCTCGGGTCATCACCCGCAGTTTTGGCGTTTCTCGACTGCCATTCTGGTTGCGATAGTCGGTGCAGCACGGATTCATCCTGGGACTTTGCTTCACCGACAAAAGCGTTTGTGTTCCTGAACGTCTTCGTCAGTCCTGGCCCTTCGACGCGTGAACGGACTGATACTTTAGTTGATATCGTCTTGTCAAGGAAGAGTTCCCTTGCCACAAATCTTTGATCGACCGCTGAGTTGACGATAATGAATGACATTGCCACTCGGATTGATGTCAACAATCCGAAATGTTTCTGGTAAAATCCGAGGGCCGTCGGACACTGGCCTAATGTCATAGGTCCAATTGTAGCCAAGCCAGATGAGACACCGAGCCACCGACCACCAGCAGTCTCTTTGGGCAGAAATTGTGAGCCTTCCAATGCTCCTGTCTTCTAGAAACGTGCTCGTTGGACTTCTCGAGAACCTTGCAGGAGCAAGTGCAGGAGCAAGTGAGAATAAGTGAGGTTGAGGTTGCCTTTTGGGGCTGAGCTTAACTCGCGTGATTCCCATGTGACCCCACTCACCCGCAACCCGGGCAATTGGTTGCTGCCTGTTCGCTAACAATTTACACTGTAGGGCAGAGTAAGCAAGTCAAGCCACAAGCCACCAATATCACTCTTCGCTTTGAGAGGAGGAGAGAAATGCACCTGTCCCTAAACGCCACCGAGGCTTACGGTCGGTGTCGGATTTGGACAACGAGATATTAAATCTCGCGGCGGTGATGAAATAAGCCTTGCATACGCAGTGCCTCCCGTTTCAGTGTTCGTTAGATGTCTTGACATAGGATACCGAGTCTGTTAGTGGTCAGTACAATGAACTGCCTGCCCCTGGAAACACAGAAGGTCTGGTACATCTCTCGGTACCTACTTTCAAAGTACCTGTCAATGATAGATCCGATTGGCTGGGGCCCTATCCCAGACTCCACTTTCCCGCTATGACCCACACAAGCAGGGCACCTTTAGACTTGGGTCAGGTAGTAACATCCACTGTCAGCTTCAATCTCGACTTCAACTTCCCAAATCATTATAAAGATGCTTCCTTCCCGCCCACGGGCGCCGTGACAGGCATCTTGCTGTGCTGATCATACCTACCTTTTGCCGTGCTGCGACTTTGTTGTGTTCTTGTGGGATTCTACCATTCTTTTTCAAACAGACAGGTCCGAGTCCGACATGTCTCGACGGTCATCCATCTTCGGGAGGCTTGGCCGATCAAGCTCATCGGCGACGGCAAGCATTGCAACCAGCAATGAGAAAGATGGACAGGACATCGATGGCAAGCTCGCACCGCCCCCGGCCTACATCACCGTCGACGAGTCGGCTACGGCGGACTTGACAGCTGCCTTTGACCAACTGAGCCTTTCCAACGCGGCTTCCAACCCAACTGTCGATACATGTCTTGCCCACTTGAAGCTGTTGTTCGCCATCCAG